GAAACTGCGCCAGGGGAAGTTCAGGCTAGAAATGAGGAGGTATTTCTTCACAGAAAGGATCGTTAGGCATTGGCATGGGCTGCCCAGGGAGGTGGTGGAGTCCCCATCCCTGGAGGGGTTTAAGAAAAGACTGGAGGTGGCACTTAGTGCCATGGTCTAGTTGACATGGGGGGGTGAGGGCAAAGGTTGGACTCGATGATCCCAGAGGTCTCTTCCAACCAAATCGGTGCTGTGAGACCATGCAGAACAGTAACTGCACCTTTGACTGTCCTTTCCAATCCCTGTAACGTTGGTCTGGGGGAGGAGAAGCTGCTGAAAATGAGGGCACTTACTTACAGAAATATGCCTAAAACATGGATGTAGGGATAAACGAGACACCACGTGTTTTATTTTCTTGGCTTTTAATCTATGAAAGGTGGACACATTTTGCAACAGACTTAAGGTCTGTTATTGAAGGTATGACATATTTATCTTGGGCTGCTAACGCTCAGTCATTCGCTTCACTGGTCAGTAGCCACAGGTGATGACAAACTACATATTCTTCCATCTTTTCTAAATATTGCATTCCCATAAGCAGAAAACCCTCAATGACCTGCCCTCCAGCCATTCCCGATAAAGGCAGGACAGCTGAAAGACCAAGTCTTTCTACCTGCTGGAGAAGGAGTGGGTAGCACACATCAGCCAGCTGAAAGGTACAGCAAAGCCAAACGGGAAAGCAAAGGCTTTGGCTGTGGCATTTTTGATGTGTACTTGCTTCTGCACCCTCTTCTAGTCGGACAGCAAACGAAGCGTTTTATTTCCCCAGCCCCACTGTGGGTTTTCCACTGCCTTTTCTCAGGGCTGGGTTCTTGCCCTCTCCAGTTGCTTTGGGGCAATGACAGTGCACCCTTCCCGTGGCACAAGAGCCATGCGTCTTGCTGCACTACGCAGATTAGGGAGGGGAGTAGGAATTACTTATTTAAGTATAAAAAAAATTAACGGATATTTCATTTCAACTTGTAGGCTTGCTCCGGGCAAGCCAGAGTGGGAAGATTTCCTGCCGTACCAAATGCTACTTGGAGCGGCAGCTGAAAGTGCAATTTAAAATTTATATGTGATAGTCTCCCATATTACAAAAATTAAAATACTATGAATCATCACATCAGCATTCTAGGTCACTCTTATTCCCAGTTGGGAGAGTTAAAAATCCTAATGAGTTTTTTTTTTAAGTGAAAGATATTAAAAGTTATTAAAAATAACTTTCTGGTTAGGAAGTAAAACTTGATACTTAAATGCCACGACACCACTAGGGATACTTGCTTTTGTATCTTCTGGATCATGGTGCGATGAGTTTCAGCTGAAGCTCCTTAAAAATTTCTCCAGGTATTAGGAAAGATTCCTGCTCTCCCAAAGTCAGTGGGAGCTTGGCTGGGGACTTTGAAAGGAGCCAGAATTCAACTACGGGAATAGGATTCTGATTGTAGATGTGCTCTACGATTCAAAAATAATTACACTGGGAATGCTCTTCTGCTATAGTAGCTGGAAAAGAAAAGCAAGCCTTAAGTTTCCAAATAACAAAAAGGAAAGGTAAATAATAAATTTATAGGGTGAGGAAAAGGCTGGGAACAGACAGTACTTTCTTTAAGATGGCTTGTTTTATCCACACTCTCTAAAACACCCACGTTGAAGGCCAATGGCCAAATTTGTTATCGTGTTACAACAGCATCCAGAAACCTTATCAGGATTTATCCCTCGTTTTGTAATGTGCTCTACTATAGAAAGAGGAAGTCTCTCAAGACTTTTTGGCAACTCAGCTTTAAGAGAAGTGAAAACGTAGTAAAAGTGGGAAGACCTCAGGAATGCAGCTAATAATCTCCAACCTGAGATGTTGCAATGAAGTGCTAGCATGGTATTCCTTACGGCACACAAAGCAGTAGACTGAAACACAAAAGGAAAGGTTAGGGAAAGTTTTCCTTCCTATACTTCTTGACCTGACCTGAAAGTCTGCGCAGAGCTTTAACACTCTAACACAGAACTAACCAGTCCTTGTCGCACTGACCTATAGGAAGGAAACTTAACAACAAAGATAGTGGTGGATACAGCACCCTGGCATTTGTACTCTGCTTTGGCTGCTCTTTGGACACCGAAGTCCTTTTGAAGACTTGATAATCCTCTCCGCACCAAAAGCCTGTCGCAAACCAGCTGCAAGGTTGCCTTTTTGCAATCTGACTTTCAAAACAGAATACAGAAAATCTAATAAGGGCTTGACCATTAACCTTCAGAAAACATTTAGACCTATGCTTATAAATTCAGTTTTGCAAGCAGTAAGACAGTTAATCAATCTCACCATTTTCAGAATTACAGGCAAAACCCTCTTTGATTTACTGTCCTCAATATTTCCAAACCAAACCAAACCACTCACTTTCATTTATAAGCATTCCGTAGAAACTAATCAAGCTATTCCTTTGCTAAGTATATAGGAAAGGAAGAAACAGAGATTTTTCTCAACATTGTTACTAAATATCTGGGAAATACTCAGACTCAGTTATGATAGTAATATACAATCATGAAGCCAGATTTTGTTCCCATCTCCACTTCCTCACTGTCTGATCCTGGTTGCATGAGATGTAAGCTCTACCTGTATTAGGGCTCCGTACACATGTACACACACATAGATACAAGAGGAGGTACAGAGACAAATAAGGAGGCAACCGTACCCTATTCCTGCAAAGCACTTCCAAATCTCTAGATGAAAATCACTGCAAATGTACAAGCTATGGTCGCAGCAAAAGCACTACCGGCTGACGGTGCTACCTGAAAGGGATTCTGCATCCAGGCACTGCCACAAACACAGAACAGCACCAGACAAACGTCAGCACTAGCAGGGTGGGTCAGCCCAGATCATTTTGGTTTCTTAAATGAAAAGTTTCAAATGAAACGTACCATGGAATTCAAAATACTGAGGGAAAGAAACAGGACAGGTAGGCAAAAGGCATGTTTTGTGTACGGTTATACAATTTGTGAGCTTTAAGCTAAGGCAGAAGATAAAAAAGAAACCATGATTAAAGAACGCAAAGAATGCAAAGAATGGTGCAAAATTTGATTAACTGATGAGAAGTTGGGAAGCAACAAATCAGATAAGCATATGCCATAAACTGGATTTGAAATGTTAATTTTCCTTATAAAAGATGCTCATTGTCTAACCATACTGGGAAATAATTTTTTGTAAGCCATCCCAGGAAAAAGATACAATGATCAGAAAGTTTTTTGAATATTCTTTCCATACTCTCTGCATTTTTTCTTTTTTTTTTTTTTTTTCCTTCAAGCAGATTGTGAGAGATTTAAGCTTGCTTGGGGACAGATTACAGAAAAAAATCATAGCAGTCGTAAACTGTTTAGGGAGTGAATTACTGTCTCCTCTTTTATTTGGGATTAGACATACTTAAATAAGATCAGTAAGGGACTTTTTCCAGGGAGAAAAAAACAGTGGCTGTCAAGAAGAAATATTTGCTATACCTAGAAAACTAGTTTTCTACTCAGATAAAAAATAGTACACACAATATAGCTGGGAATCAAAGCACAATTGAAACATTTTCTGGAAGGAAGAGACCAAAAATTACTTAGGTTTCAAAAAACAGGGGAATCCCATGCAAAAGAATAAAAAGCTTGGAATGCCGGAGAACTTCGGGCTTCATGTTTGAAATCTGACATTCTCTAAGATGGGTCCTGGTATTAGCAGATGCCATTGCTGTTGAGGCGTAAAACTGAGTGGTGGTCATCTGAAACCGAAAGTTGTTCAGGTCTCCCGAGAAGAAAGTCTCACCTGGTTACAGCTTCTTGTGTTAAATCTACCCTTCTTTGTTACGTGATTTTAGGCTTGCTGCATGTTGTTGTGTGTTTTCTTAAACTGATACAGGAAAGTAATGAGTCCAGCTGCATTTGACTAGGAGGCAACACCTTTACTAGTGATGTACATAAACACACTCCAGAATAATTTTGATTTAAATTCCCTAACTTTAGCCAGGGAAACAAGCCGTCACTTTTGAAGTTGTGAATTATTATTAATGATTATCGTATTGTTAAGGTCAATACAAATGGCAAGAAATCATGTAGCTGTCTGGAGCTGAACATGTGTTCCTTGAGTCCTGCCTTAAGATCTCTGAAACCACCTTGTTGCTATGGGAAGGACAAAGGATGGTGGGCTTCCCGGATTGCTTCTGCTGCTTCTAGGCAGCACCTGGAGAAGCTGAAGAATGAAGCGGGAGTCCCAGCACCACTGCTCAGCAGAGAATGAAAAGGAGCAGCTTTGGTTTCTGTCTTGACTATGTTCTGTATGACAGTGAGAGAAGCGCTTGACGAGTGCCACAAAATACCTATGAAAAGGTTACTTCGTTACTTCCGTGCTCCCAGCAGCTGAAGAAAGGTCAAAAAGTGATCTGATTATTCTGTTTCACGGTCTCATTCTTTACGTCCAGCAAAACCCACCCTGAGGAACGTCCTTGTGCCTATCGCCTACCTGTGACTTCCCAAGAGCCACGCACCAGCTGGAGACAGACGGCGCGCAGCACGCCGAACCATTTCCCTCCCTACAGCAGTGTGCCTCCTGTCTCCGGGGCAGTAGGAAGGCACAAAAGCTGCCTTCCATCAGCTCCACATCGCCTGAAGAGACGCAGAGAGTTTCCATTTTCTGTGTGCCATCTGAATGCGAAGAAAGGAGAACAGGGCACATTAATGGCCCTGGTGTATTGACTACGGCTGGCTGACATCTTTTAAATGTTTGGACTGCAGGCTAAAAGGGTCGGACATCACCGGTGTGCAGGCAGATCCGGATGGCTGCACACTGACAAAAGGATTTTTTAATGTCAGCCAAACTGAAAAGGAGGAAGCACAAGGAAAATATATGTAAGTAATGAGGTGAGAACACTAGTCTGAATTCCCATGTAAGTACAGTGAAATTTC